CCCCCCCCCCCCCCCCCTATATAGGCCAGGACTGGCGCATCGCTGCATTCGGCGTCCTGTTCTAGGGAGTGGGAAGCAGATGGGCATCGCGGGGAACGTTCTGAGCGAGCGCTTTTATCCCAGCGGTGTCAGAAAAAAGAGACGTTTTGTTTTTAGTTCTGGTTTACTAAATACGATACGGGGAGGAAGTTTGAAGCTCTTAAAGCGAACCCGGGCACTGCAAGGGTTAACTTCTCATATTTGTTTTAAGGGATTCTTATCTTACCTGATCCCCGCTCCCCCGGCAGTCGGCGCTCACCTTCTCTCCCCTCCGTTCCAGCTTGTGGACTGTCCCTTGGTGTCCTCACGTATAATGCACCCTACATTGGACATTTTTTTTTTTTTATCCGGAGATATTCTTTACAGTATATGTATCACTAAGGTCTCTGAGTGTCACTGAGGCAGGAAGTGAGGGGGGTGAACCATGCCAGTGGCTCCACAAAGGGAAAGCTCACGGCAGTACAGTGGGTGTCACCGAAGCAGGGAAATGAGGGGACGGGACATCCCTAGTGGCCCCACATAGGTAAACTGGCACAGCAGCACCTTGGGTGTCCCTAAGGCAGGAAGTGGGGGAGGGGAACATCCCCAGTGCCCCCACATAGGGAAGAGAGCACAGCAGTACCATTGGTGTCACTGAGGTAGCAGGTGAGGGGAAAACATCCCCAGTGCCCTCACAAAGGGAAATAAGCACTGCAGTAGCATGGATGTCACAAGGGCAGGAAGTGAGAGGGAAATATCCCCAGTGACCCCACATCGTAAAACAGCATGGCAGGAAGTGAGAGGGGAGATATCCCCAGTGGCCCCACATAGGGAAAGCAGCACACCAGTACCATGGGAAAATAATTACTGCAGTTCTGTGGATGTCACAAGGGCAGGACACGAGAGGGAAGACAGCACAACAGTACCATTGGTGTCATTGAGGCAGGAAATGAGGGGAAAACATCTCCAGTGCCCTCTCATAAGAAAATAAGCACTGCAGTACCACAGATGTCACAAGGGCAGAAAGTGAGCACGAAATATCCCCAGTGTGGCCCAACATCAGAAAACAGCACGGCAGTACCATGGGTGTCGCTGTGGCAGGAAGTGAGAGGGGAAACAACCTCAGAAGCCCCACATAGGGATAATGGTATGGCAGCACCTTGGGTGTCACTAAGCGAGGGGAGAAACATCCCCAGTGCCCCCACACTGAAAACAGCACACCAGTACCATGGGTGTCACCATGGCAGGAGGTGAGAACACATCCCGAGTGTCCCCACACCGGAAACATAGCACAGCAATACCATGGGGGTCACCAAGGCAGGAGGTGATTGGGAAAACATCCTGATTGCCTCCACATAGGGAACACAGCACAGCAGTACCATGGGGGCCACCAAGACAGGAGGTGGTGGGAACACATCCCCAGTGCCCTCACATAGGGAACACAGCACAGCAGTACCATACCATGGGGGTCACCAAGGCAGGAGGTGAGGGGAACACATCCCGAGTGCCCACCACATAGGTAACACGGCACAGCAGTATAATGGGGGCCACCAAGACAGGAAGTGAGGGGAACACATCCCGAGTGCCCACCACATAGGTAACACAGCACAGCAGTACCATGGGGGCCACCAAGACAGGAAGTGAGGAGGGAAACATCCCTAGGGGAGACACAGAAATATAAAACCCAACAAAGGATCCACCACATTCCTGCTCTATCCAGAACTGCTTTTGACTTGAGTCCCCCTTTAATCCGATCCTCAAGCCCGGCACTTTATTTAAAAGCAGCAACCGCTCGTTATTTTATGATTGTCTGTAAGCCGTTTTATTGTTGCTCTTATTTACAATCTGATTGAAGTGTCGCACACGTATACATTATCAGCGGGCTCAGGCATGTAGGAGTGCATTCTAATGGAAGTCGGTGATTAGCGGATCAATCAGCAGGGGTCGGAGTTCCACTTACTCTGATTGGAGTGACGTTTTCATCCCCCTGCACCTCGCACCGCGCTGACCCCGCGTATACCCGCCAATCAGCCGCATCAACAACTCAAGTCTCTGGCAGCCGGACCGTGCGCTTGATTAAATTAAACCGTGATTAAGAATTGTTCGCTGAGCGGCAAATTCACCGGCAGGTCTCGGACCCTTTTGAGTGTCGGAAACCTGTGATGATTGCAAGAGGTGCCACCGCTGCATCATCTGGTCATGTGATCCCAATCGCTAAAATCTCCTATAAGTTTTAACATGTTAATGTGATTTTAAAAGTCATTTCCAACATGCATAAATCTGCAGCTTTCATTAAAATAATCCCTGGTTTATCCGGCCATGAAGGCCCTTGTTGTTATAGAGTGACAACCCTCGGTCCCCATTTCTTAATTGCGCTCTTGAGTTGTCAACTTGCTGATGAGATTGGAAAGACTGATCATTCTTAATTTTTTTCTTTGTCAACAGGAGGAAAACCAACATGGAGGGCGATAGCTTGAGCTGCGTGAAATACCTCATGTTCATCTTTAACTTTTTTATATTTGTAAGTATTCTGTTCTGCAGGTGAAGCCCAGATCTGGGCAGCTTTTTATTTTTTTTCTGGGGGTCCCAGGACATGGTAAATACAAGAAAGCAGCTCTGTCTGTCTCCAGTGTAGTAATTGCTTTCTGCCACTAGAGGTCCCCAGTCTTTCAAGTTGGATGACACCGACACCTAACATCATATAAAATGGAACACTGAGGGCAATCCTGTGATTGCAAAGCGTCATGGACCCGCCCCCTGAGTGGACATCACCACAGTGCTCGCAGACAACAATGCAAGGAACAGCCGTCACATCTGTGCTGGTCTCTATCATTGAGGCCCGCGGGGGCGGTAAAATGGTCATCAATAATGTCCTGCATGGCCTTATCAACAGTACACTAAAAACGCCATAAGAGACCCTTCTAGATGTGAATTCTGTATTCAACTAATTCCATCTTGAATTAAATCGGCATGAAGGCATGTCATGGAAGTGACTCTGATAAGTGTGGGAACATTCCTGATACCAAAAAAATCTCTCGCCTCTGCTTCATCTTAGCTTGGTGGAACTTTTCTGCTTGGACTCGGGGTTTGGGTAATCGTTGACCCCACCGGCTTCCGGGAAATCATAGCTGCAAATCCCTTGATGTTCATGGGCGCCTACCTGGTCTTGGCCATGGGAGCCATGTTGTTTCTTCTCGGCTTCCTGGGCTGCTGTGGAGCCATCCGTGAGAACAAGTGCCTTCTGCTGTTTGTGAGTAGCAATTTTTTTTAACCTTTACTTTGCTGCTGCCACGCTGATATTAACATCTACAATTTATAACACTTGTTGGCGAGATCTCTGTAGCTTGGCTCCCTGGGATGGTCTTTGTTCATTTTAACGAGAAGGAAATGCTTTGTTGGGTGTTATTTTGTAGTTGGCTCATTGTCACAGGACAGTTCTCCATGCTTGGGTGCATTTGGACGGAAACAAGTAACCATATATGTTTGGGTTCACATACATTATATGGTCAAAAGTATGTGGACCCCTCCTCTAAATTCAGTTCAGGTATTTCTAGTAAAGGGTCCTGTCAATCATCAATGACATTGTAGACAATTGTGCTCTTCCAACCTTGTAGCAACAGTTTGGTGAAGGCCCTTTTCTGTTCCAGCATGACTGTGACCTTGTGTACAAAGCCAGCTCCAGAAAGACATAGTTTGAAGAGTTTGGTGTGGAGGAACTTGAGGGCACAAAGCACTGACCTCAACCATACTGAACACATTTGAGGTGAACTGGAATGCCAATTGCAGGCCAGGTCTTCTCATCCAACATCAGTATCTCACCTCAAAGTTTTAATTATGTTCACAGGTTTACTTTTTTGTGGCATAAAATATGCTTTTGGCCATGCATCAGTGCCCTACTTAAAGTGACATTAAACCCTCAGATTTTGTAACCTAAAACAATAGTGTAATGTGTACCTTACTGTAATCCATGGTTGTTTTCCTTCTCTTTGCTGCTCTTCCTTTTAAATCTGTATCTGTTCTCATGCTGGGCAGACCTTCTGTTTTGCAGCAGACTGCCTTGTCTCAGGAATCGATACATGGTGTCTGTGTATAGGTTTGTATAGGTATGTAACCTGAACCAGCACTACAGGAAGAGGCCCTGAGCTGAAAAGGGAAGTTCTCCCCAAGCATGAGAAGAGATACAGATTTAAAAGGAAGAGCAGCAAAGAGAAGGTAAACAGCCATGGATTACAGTAAGGCACACATTACAGTATTGGTTTATGTTAAAAAATCTGAGGGTTTAATGTCACTTTAAGGTTATACATTTTGACAGAGGCTATAAAGGTCCAGATCAGTGTTAACATGTAGAACCAAATGAATTGTATGTGTAAGAATTGTCTGCAGTGCCTACTACTCCAAAACGTATGTGGCCTTGAGTCAGAGAGATTTAAAGTAAAGGCACTGGAACTTCTGATCTTCCAACTGCTGGTTACTCTAGTATGACTACATGAGTTCAAATAGCATACATGGTTTCTACATTGTGTGGCGCTCACCCCCAAAGGAGCCGCCGTAATGTATTGGGCCTCCAGGGTGGCTACACTTGTTTTCAGGGTTTACAGTCCTGTGATTCAGCTTCTGATTACCTATAGGAACTTAGATCTTCAAATACATATGTATATGCCAACAGAATACACATCTCAGTGTCTTTGTCACTTTCTGAAGACCCATCAAACACACGGAGTGCTAATTATCCTTAACGTCACCATTTTCTCTTCCAGTTCTTCATGTTTATTCTGGTTATATTCCTGGCGGAACTCTCGGCTGCTATTTTGGCGTTCCTGTTCAGGGAGAACGTAAGTGTCACAGAGCTGAACCAAATCAGAACCTGGCTGTGTTACAATAGAATGATGATAAATACTACCCAGTTCTGGGTAGTATTTGTATTCCGGGAAAATAGGCAAGATTCAAGCCAATGGGACTGGCGCTCACTCCGCCAATGCTAGGAACCACGGGGCTGCCCTCTCAACCAGGGAGTCACTGAAATCTTGGGAACATGCAACAAAACGCAGAGCAGGCGCCAACTCCTAGTGCAGTATGTTTATTGACCAAATGATGAAATAAGAGTGAAGGTCTTGCTCTGGGGAAGGGGTTGGTTAGCCCGAAACACCTTACCACGACCC